AGAAATGACACAGTGCGTTGAGAAGTCCTAAGAGTGCATGTGGTATGCTGATGGCGTTGCCGACGATATGATTCAGTAAACGTGGATGGATTGGACCTTTCCAAGGGACCGAAAGTCCTTGCAACCATAGCAGCTCAGGTCCCACGAGGAAGCGGATGCATCCATTATGTCTGATGAGGTTACCAAAGATACCCTTTGGTGTGACTGACGTTGCATCAAATTCGTGCCCAAACGCGTAACTTGTCATGAGACACTGTACACGATCTTGTTCAGTGCGTAAACGGAAACGAACTGCGTCCTGAAAGGTTCTTGGGGCAGTTCCTGGGACTTTGGATGGATCAAGGTAGAGCTTTGCAATGTCACAATCCAAAGGTGCCGACATAAGTTCGATGGTAGCTGTGTCTCGAAGGAGGCAATGGCAATTTCGCAAAGAGGTCGGTCCAAGAGGATTTGATGGCCATGGTTGGCGTGCAAAATGCTTAAGACCATATGCACATCGTCGAATGGCAATCAGAATAAGTCTTGGTCTGGATTGCGGAAGCCATTCTTCAAGGTTAAGGACTTCTTGCCATGCAACTTGAAAATTGCCCCAATTGAGGAGCTCCAGAACTAAAGGGAAGTGTGCGTGTGTCCGTAAATTAGCGACTTCTTCCAGGACAAGCACTTTCGGTTGCAACAGCATCACTTTCAGCAAAGTATCTATAATCACTTGTCCCTCTGCCTTCTCAAGACCTGCAGCTGTACTTGCACTAGAGAAAGCCGGACATGGGGGTGACGCAGTTGCGATTTCGATAGGTTCACAGAAAATGAGATACCAGCCCAGTGCTAAATCAGTCTGAAACGTAATGGGTAGTTCGCGATAGTAAAAACACTCATCACGCAATTGAAACACATCTTCAGGCTTAGCCGCCATCGCGTCAGCTGTGTAATTCCTGGAGTACCAGGTGGCAACACAATGGTCGTGGTCGATTGCAAATTTGGTAGCCGTGGTGTACCCCATAGTTTCCAGAATCTTAGTCGCTTGCGTCCATCCGCTAAATGCTCCTGAACAAAACTCGCCCATGTCAAAGTTGGTGGTGGGATGGTTGCGACCGGTACGAAAAACTCGAATTCCAGATTCTAAGTCCATAATGGAAATTATGGCTTGAGATGATTGGAAATGTACCTGGCCTTGGTAGACAATTGCTTCGACATGTAACGGTATCAGTTCTGCATATCGCTTTGGAACTTGAATGACAACTTCAGTAATCTGATCATGCGTACAAATGGCATGTGATACTCTTTCCCCACAAAAATGAGTTGCCCATTTCAGAGGGGATGGCTTGATAAATGCACCATACAAAGCACAATTGGCATCGGAATCTAGCAATCGGTCAATGATGATGTAGGCCGTAACACGTTGGATGCATGGACACACATACGGTCGCTGGACATGCCCACGAATTTTCTGGAGGAGTTTCGCCTTAGTCGGCAAAGAAACTGTGTTCCACGACGCACGTGCTGGTGTCATAGCGGGCTGAGGAAACATACCACCGAAGTGGATAGTTGCTTGAGAGTCCCACATATCCATGTGTGCGAGGAAGAAGGTCCTCACTTGTGTAGCAAAAACGACAACATCCTGATTTGGTGCATGTCGGGTCCATGTGCTCAAGGCCTCTTCGAAAAGTAGATTCTTGATCCGGGAGTTAGGCATGACTGCAATTCTTTGCAGGAGCGTGGTGGTGTCATGGGTCAAGGACACCTCACAGTGCTCTTGGAGAGAATGTAGAAGTATCCATCCGCAGAGGTGCTGGTGTGACTGTGTAGCGGTAGCTTGAACATGAATCCGGTCAGGAGACGTTTCGAGTAATGCTGCAACTGCACGAAACAAGGGAGCTAGGTGAGGATCTTCAGGAGCCGGCACGGCTGCAGTCAGCATCCAGCGATGTTGATGCTTAAGGCCGGAAATAGATATCCAGTGATAATTGAAGGTAATGAAAAACAGAACCTTGGTATAGCCGGCCACACTTGGAAGATCGCCTGACAAGGATTCAAAACTTTCTTTGGCTGTATCGAAGTGCAAAGGGCATGGGAGATATCTGTCAAGAACCTGCATACGAACTGTCCGCAATACGAGTTCGACCTCGAAATTTGTCATCCATGCTGGCTGTATGAGCATGGTTCGGAGGTAGTTAATTTCCCTTTCTCGATTTGTGGGCGGTCTAGGAACTTGGCAAATTTCTTGCACGTATTCCTCTTGCGGACCTACGAACATCACAGTATCCACTCCTCGTGGCAAGCGAGAGTCTGGTTGATTGCTTGCATATTCTGACATAAAAGCGCTACGGCATGCAACAGCGAACCGAAGGAGATCAGGTGTAGCATTTGTGCGATGCCAATGTTGTTGGGATCGCAAGATCACTCGATCGAATTGAGCTTGATGCTGATTGGTTACATGAATCATAGGCTGAAGACAGGTCTGCATGGCAAAATTATGGTACCATCGAAATAGTATTGTCCAGCCGCACATGGTCAGAACTTCGTGGTTGGAGTCGAAAGTGACCAGCATATGGTGAGGTGGAATTTGCAAAGTACGTGACAGTTCTAAGACCGCCGTTGTATGATGCTCTGATGGCCATTGAATAAGCACCACATGGACTGGGTCTGTTCGACGATCAACTTCAACTGCACACCAGTGAGCTTCCACCAGGAACAATAAAATGTTCAAACGATGGTTGGTGAACTGTAGTTGATCCTCTGCAGCCATAAGATGACGGAGATCTCGACTGGGACTCCATTGAATGATCGGGCAAATGTTAATATCAGTTCTCCAATCCTTCAGCTTGCGTAAGAACCAAAGTGCTTCATCGGATGCTAACCACCCATTGTCTTGCAATGCAGCAGCACATCGTTCTGCGAAAGGTGGGTTAGGTGCCATGTGAATGATTTGGCAACGCCCCCCAAGCGGGATGTCCTCCTGTATAGACTGCTTGGCTCCAACCTCGAAACTCGAAGTTGCCCCACGTGTGATCACGGCTAGCAGTTGTCCTTGAGAGGTCTGTAGCAAAATCGGAGTGTGTATTTGACTCGAAGGGCTTGGACCACAGTTGAGTGGTTGAATTGGACAGTGAGAGACGGGATGAGTGATCCATAGTCACAAACTCATCGATGTTCCGATGATCTGGTTGCAATAGTTGTCGACAAACACCTTTTAAAGGTGTGCTGATGTAAACCTCCTGCAATCTGGTGCTAGGTAAGGCATCCCATTCAGTCACTGTCTTGTCACGGACTGATGTAAAGGAAACATTTCGGAGTAGAGGATCTCGATGAGAAAAATAACTTGAGATATCATCAAGGATCGGTTGGTCATAGATGTGGATCTCACCATGGTTGTTGATGGGTACAGTCCCACTGGATGTGGTAAAATGGTGTGGAGATTGAATCATGATCTCTTGATCCACGACTGGTATAATATCTTCAATGTTGGAGGAAAACTGAATATACGATCTTGATTCGGCACTCGAAGTAGGGACCGTATTGGATGGCCACAAACTGACAGAACGAATGAGTCGTGTATCTTGCTCATCAAAGACAGTAGAACCAGCCTGAACAATGTTGTTGGAAACGGGTACAGCCCCACGATAGATGGTATCACGTTGTGGTGGTTGTAGCAAATCTGGGTCCAGGATGTCATGAGCCAGAGCTGAATCGTTCGGTCTGTACAATGGCGCCTGCCTGGTTAGGCCCACCAATAAAGTACTGTAATTCGTGATATGCGGATGGTAGTCGGGTACAGCCCCGCTAGAGGTAGTCACATATAGTGGACGTTGTTTGCAGATCGTATTCTGTGTAAGGCTCGCCATCCGTGCCCGATGTGCTCGGAAATTATAGATCAAAACTTTATCTGATGGACGAATACCGCACTGAGTAGCGTGGAAGTACGAGTCAATCTGGAGAGAAGGTAATATGTCTGTATCCGCTGTTCGACAAGCATATGGCTTCAAACAGGTATGAAATTGAGACTGGCTGTTGAAAGCTTGTCCCAATACCAACTCTGGACTGGAGTCAAGGATTTGATCGCAAGAGGCCAAATCACAAGAATCAGTGCAAATGTCATCATCGTGTTGGTGGATGTAATTTTGGCGTATTGCTCGAAAAATGTCA